ATTATAATAGTTTTTAGTGTATAATAATATCGGCTACTATTACAAAATACAGTAAATTTAGTTTACAATTACAAAATGATTAATAATTTATTAAAATATAATTTCTATATTAATATTAAATAAAAATTTGTTTCATTAAACAAATTATATGTTTTTTTTTGTATAATAAAATTACTATTAATAAACTACTGTATGATATATTTGTATATTAAAAAATATTAATTGAAAAAAAACTAAATATATAAAAACAATTAAACTAAAAATAGTTATTTGTATATATTATTGAAAAAAATCATTTCTAAAAAATCAATCATTAATTAGAGGATATATATATTTAATTTCAAAAATGTTTTTTCAATTTCAAAACATTTCTAACTATGTGTAGTTGTATTTTATACAAACAATTAATATTGTATATTAAATATAAATATAAATTTTAAAAAATATTTTTTGTTTTACTGGTATATAACTATCAAATTATATAATATACATACTTATAATATAAAGTTATTTAATAATACTAATAAACAGTTATATATATATATATATTGTACATAATAATGACTTAACATTAATTTCTAAAAAATCTTGTTTTATAATTATATTTAAAGTCAGTTATTTTTTTTATTTTAAAAAAATAAATAATTATAAAAAAAATATTAGCAAATATGTTAACTTTTGTGATTTTGTTTGTGTTTAATTTAATAGCAGTTTTTAAACCACAATATATTAATGGTTTGAATAACAACTTAAATGTGTCTCAAAAACTTAATACTAACCATTCATGTGATAATAATAATAATAAAACTGATGATAATATTATTGAAAACCCTATTGAATCAAATGATAAAACATTTATAATAATCATATCACTGATGACAGTATCCATGTTATGTCTGGCCATTGGTTTGGCCATCAATTACAGGCAACACATCCGTAATAATAGACGTATTATCGATTGGATTAGTATTGGACGCAAATTAATGAATCCATCGTAAAATACAAATATAATTATATAATAAATTAAATTTATATATATTTGATTTAACCTGTTATATACAGTATACATGTATATATATATGTATACTTTTAAAGTTTTATTAATTAATTTAAAAAATAATTTATATATTTATATATATAATATTAGTAATAATTTATATTTCTTATTTAATTGCTTTAAAATAGATTAATTAAAAAACAAATAAATAAATGACAATAGGAAATAGTATTTATATAATATATATATATCTATAAATTTAAATGTATTAATGTACAAAAAAATAAATACTGTTAATATATTTTTTTATATAATAAAAATATATTAAACAAAAAATAATTATTTATTTATTAATCTTTATTAATAGTATTAGTAATCCATTGAGTAAAATATGAAACCCTAACAAATAAGACATAAATACGATCATTGATTTCATGGCACTTGAGATAGCCATCAGTGCGGCCGGTATTTATGCCAATCAATACGGCCCTACCGTTTACATACTGATACAATGGACCACCAGAATCACCCTAATTAGGTATAGATTGATAAATAATAAAATACATACACATACACATACACATACACATACACATACACATACACATACACATACACATACACATACACATACACATACACATATACACATACACATACACATACACATACACATACACATACACATACACATACACATACACACACACACATACACATACACATACACATACACATACACATACACATACACATACACATACACATACACATACACATACACATACACATACACATACACATACACATACACATACACATACACATACACATACACATACACATACACATACACATACACATACACATACACATACACATACACATACACATACCGGACATGAAAAGGTGCCGTTATATTGAGGATATCGTTGGCCGAGTATAGCAAATCGCCAATAGTCTGTCTCATTACCTACAGCTGCCCTAATCCTAATATAACCCATACGTAGTCTATCGCTTCTAGTAGTACCGGTTACTAAACCATACCCAGCCATCAATGCCAACTCATCCCTATCGTTGTGTTGGTTAGCCATTGGCAAACAAATACCGTTTAGTGTCCGATATGGATGTAGTAGTAGTGGTTGTCCAACGTTTGTATCGATAAGCGGTAAGTCAGCTGTTAGTTTAATCAGTGCCAAATCGGTAGCCGGGTGCCGATTAGATACATAGTTAGAATGGATAACTGTTTTTTCAACATCATAACCATCATCGTTATAGCCACCCATATTGATAAATAATTTGCCCGGGTAGATTTTTATATCACTAACTGGAATTAGGCTTACTCTATTGTTGCTAATATTTATATATATATATTTAATTAATTAATATAGATAATAGTATAGATTAACAAGATTAAGATTAATAATTAATTTTGATAATTAAATTATATATATATATATATAGATGTATATTGTATATTGTTATATATATATATATACATATATATATATTAATATATACAGTATAACAAGTTAAATATATAATTATATTTACTAAATAATGTGAGCGGCAGTTAATATCCAGCGTTTATTTAGTATAACACCCGAACCATATTTTATAATGTATTTACTTTAAGTTAAAGTTAAATTATTTATTTAAAAAAATAAAATAAAAATAAAACAAAAACAATTTTTTTATATACAGACTTTAGTGGACTTAAATAATAATAATTTATGAGTTTTTTTATATGTTATTTACTTAGAGATAGCAATCCATACGGCAAACGGCACTTCACCCGATCCGGCATTGCGTCCATTATTCAGTTCATGCGCTGGTATTAGACTTTGATTGGATTTGGATAACCATTGAAAACAATTGCCGTTTCCAAGCAATGATTGTCTACCGATACCACACTGAGGGACAGTTATGTTCGGATAGTCATCCATTTCAATGGTTGTCGACCAGACATTTGTGTTGTTGAAACACAACAACAATAATAAGTTTATTATAATTATTTTAGTTAACATTTATTTATAGTTATTTTTTTGTATTTATAAATATACAATAATTATGATTATTTTAACTGAACTATTATTTTTAGTACATTTAAATTAATACATTTTTTTTGATTTTAATTGATTGTAAATTAAAAAAAATCATTAATAAATTTTAAGTTAATTATAATTTTTATAACCAATTATGGGTGTATTTAACATAATATTTATTAAATGAATTTATATTTTACATAATAATAATAATAATAATAATAATAATAATAATAATAATAATAATAATAATAATAATAATAATAATAATAATAATAATAATTAAATTACAGTAAGAAAAAAAAGTTTATAAAAAAATTACTTTTATAATAATAGTTTTTAATATATCATATTATCGCCTATTATTACAATATAAAGTATATTGTAAACAAAATTTCATGAAAAATAGTTAATTTAGTTTACAATTACAAAATGATTAAATAATTAATAAATTAAAATTAATTACAATTAATAAATATATGCTTTATTTTTTAAAATTAATTAGTAAATAAAGATAACTGTTTATATATATATTTTATAATAAAATTTATTTTAATAAACTATTATAAATTTGTATATTAAAAAAAATAAATTTATATATTATGAATTAAAAAATATCAAATTATTTTTGCAACAAAAACAAAATAATTAAACTAAAAATAGTTATTTGTATTTATAACTTAACAAAAATAAAAACATTTATCTATTTTTCAAACATTTCTAAAAAATCAATCATCAATTAGAGGATATATATATTTAATTACAATAATGTTTGCATTTTATTTCATAACATTTCTAACTATGTGTAGTTGTATTTTATGCAAACAATTAATATTGCAGATTAAATATAAGTAAATAAATTTTAAAAAAATATATTTTTTGTTTTACTGGTATATAACTATCAACTTATAATATATATAATTATAATATAAAGTTATTTAATAATACTAGTAAACAGTTTATATATATATATATATATATATATTGTACATAATATTGACTTAACATTAATTTCTAAAAGTCTTATTTTATAATTATATTAATAATCAGTTATTTTTATTTAAAAAAATAATAATTATAACAAAAATAATAGCAAATATGTTAACTTGGATTTTGTTTGTGTTTAATTTAATGGCAGTTTTTAAACTACAATATATTAATGGTTTGAATAACAACTTCAATGGCTCTCAAAA